TGTAGGGCTGAGGTTGTGGGCCAATGTTTGGTTTTTGGGAGGTGGTGAAAGTACGTCAGTGGAAGAAAAGCATTTGTCGACAGTGGAGTCTTTAACTTTGGTAATGAGCTGGAGGTCATGTTATTCTTCTCTGGGGAGGTTTCCATGGGGCAGGTTTGAATGGGGTTATGCTTCCCCCCCTGACACGCCTTGAGACAGAGTCTAGTGAAGGAAAATATTCCAAATGTCTTATTTTTAAGCTACTTATTATGCTGCCTAAATGTATGGCAGTACACAATCAGCAAAAAGTGCTGCTGGCTTTAGTGTAAAAGCTGTGTGTGCCTGCATGTCACTGGTGATGACTGTCAGAGGATGAGATTCTTTTTTTTTTTCCCCTTCCACTTATTTTTCCAAAGAAATATCAAGGACAAAATGTGATTCAAGCAATATATTCTGGCACAAATTTGTCTTGATAAAACTTTTTGAAGCTACTTATACAAAAATTGCTATGGAGGTGCCTGGGAGTTTTAAGAATTATGTATCCCTGACTTGAATTGGTTTTTGTGTGTATTTGTGTTTCAACGCCTTAAGGACACATGCCGTTGAATCTGGTAGCCTTTGAAAGTCAGAAGGGTATTGCTTGGCTTACGCGTTTAGTTGAGCATAAAATAACTCCAAGCGGAGTGAGTGAAAACCGGTGGAAGCACACACAAAAACAAGCTGTGTGTGGTGTTTTGTAAATACAAAACCTGTTCTGGCAAATCAAGTTCAGGGAGACCTTACCAAGAACATAATTCTTACTTGCGATTCTCGTACTCAAGGTCGTCTGGGTTTAGGTCTGTGAAGGCAAAAAAAGTTAGTAATGTTTTGGTGTATTGGCTCTATGTTCTCGTTATTGGTACAGTTATTCCAACTTTCTTAGTGGAAACTGATACATTAATAGAGGAACAGTACCTAATGAAAAGGAAGTTCACTTCCACTAGTAAGCTGTTTAAGTCACTCTGAGCACTTCCCTCTGTATCCTAGCCTGTAGGATTTCACATTTTCCTAGACTTGTAGTTATTTTTTCCAAAAAGAAGATGGAACTTGGCAAGTTTTAACACAGAATGTTGTCATATGACAAGTGCATGTGTATCTAATATTAGATATTTAATAATTATGTAACACTGATAAATGTATTAATGTAAACCCCCTATGTTGTTAATGCTTGCAAAGCAATAACAGGGAGAACTTTTAAATACTGTTTTTAATCTTGTTTGTGAGCTTTCACTGGCAGAATCATTGCATTGCTTGGAATACTGTGCTTTTTCTCTTGCAGCCAACAAATGCGTGCTCCAATCTTTATCACTTTCAAGTGATATATGTACTCAATTCTTGAAAAGTAGTTGGCTTCTGTTTGGGATGAGTTCTTGTCCTGTTTCAGACATATATATTTTGACTGTCTTCTATGTGTAACTTTTCTTATTTGTTTCAGAAATGGGGGTTCATTAACATCAACTGTAAGAACACTTCTATTCTTCACAGCTCTAATGATCACATTACCTGTTGGGCTATATTTTTCTTCAAAGGCTTATATATTTGAAGGTAATTCTGTTTCAGCCAATTAGCGTTGCTACTACAAAAAAGAGGAAAAGCACAATCCTCTAATCGCATCTTTGTTCTCCTTCCTGTTTTGAATATTTGTTTCCTTATGCAGACTAAAGGCCTCGTAATGCCTAATTAGAACAGAAAATTCTGTAAATGGTCGATGCATCCTTCCCTGCATTGTGGCCTGCAATCTAATATTTGCTGTTTGTTTTATATTGGTTTATATAGTATACAGGTGCATCAGTCCCCTTACCTAAAGGGCATCTAACACCACCTTGCAGCAGATTTTTATCAGAAACAGTAGGGATATGTTTTCTGCAGGTGTTAATGTTCTTTACTGGGTTTATTTTTGCTTTTTAAAGCATTACCTGCATTTGTAAGTGTAAGCCAGTTAAGTCATATACCCAGTTTCAGATATTGAATGTGGTTGCTTTTAGAGCTTGCTTTTAAGTAAAAAAAAAAAAAAAAAAGGGGGGGGGGGGGGGGTATTTTAGCTGCTTGTTTGGAGCAGTTCTGTCAAACTGCTAACAACCAGCCACATTCTAGCCTTGATTCTGCAAGGCTTTGGTAACTTCCTAATAGTGCAGGAGAAAAGTATCTCCTTCAAAAGCTGGGAGGAGGGAACTGCTTTTAAGAACAGTTGGTGAATATGTAACTGAGTTGTTCCAATATTATTCTCCTTTGGTGTGTACTACTGTATATAGTTCTGAAGGCTGTAGCTGAAACCTTTTTAAGTAACTTTCAAGATCCCTTTTAGCTTTTTTTTTTTTTTTTTTTTTTTTCCATGAGTTGTAGCAAGCTGAGCCTTAAATTTGCTGTGTCAGTTAATGGCAAGATCTGTTAGCACTGATAGGGTTTGGTTTGTGTTTGGCGGGTGGTATTTTTGTTGTGGTGTGATGTGTGGGTTTTTTGTTTGGTTTTGTTTGGGTTTTTTTAATGAATGAAGGGAAATATTTTTGTATTTGGTCTGATATTTGAAGGCTTATTTCATGTGAGATGCATTCACCTATCTTAACTGGTGAGGAATTATTGTTTTACAGTCTAAATACAGAAGGTAGAAGTCCTGTAAATTGTTGTTCTGCTGTTTTATCCTGTTCCAGGAGTGGGCAAATGATTTAATTATCCCTCTCCCCACCACTGTTATTATCCCCTCTCCTGCCTCATAAACAGAGTTACACTTACGAAAAAAGAATTTGGTGCTGGAAGATAGTAACAGAAAAAGTTAGTGTTATAGAACTCTGAGATGTTGGCTTCGAAACCTGAGTCTCTTACCGTAAATATTGAATAATTGCAGTGTTGCTGTATTCCAGAAATAGTTTCAAGGTCTGTAATTATCATGGTGAATTCTTTCCTATGAATCTTTCCGAGCTCAGTCTTTTGAGACAGGATAAATGTAACTTTGGTCTTTAGGAAGAATTGTGATTTGCCATTTCAGTGTTCTTAATAACTAATATTCTTTACTTTCTTTATTTTCTCAGGTACCTTAGGGATGTCCGACAAAGACAGCTATTTTTATGCTGCCATAGTTGCTGTAGTTACTGTTCATGTGGTACTTGCTCTCTTTGTATATGTAGCGTGGAATGAAGGTTCTCGACAGTGGCGGGAAGGCAAACAGGACTAGAACGAAGGTCATCGTCATCTGACGCCTACAGACTGTAAATAATTTTTTTGTGAGCTGAATGAAAAGCATTCTTTAAAATGTATAATACATATGTACAAAGATGAGGCTAATGCCTCAACTCTGGCTAGAATAAGACTTGTGTTCATCTTGAATGTGTACCAGTGTTTTCTCTAATGCTGATGGAAGTTGTTCTTTAGCCAGCGTCTACTAGGTTGAGCTGAGGTTGTCTTCACATGGAATTAGAATGAAGTAATTATAGATTTAAAAAAAAAATCCTGTAGCTATTTTTGCTATTCCGAGTATTTTTCTGGCTTGCTCTGAAAATAATATTGGTGTAAAGCAAGCATTACCTTTTTTGAGTAATTAAATTACTAGTTAAAAAAGCTACATTACTCACTATCCAACTACAGTGGAGAAGATGGGACTTCTCTTTGCTGTGGATAGTTTCCTGATTTATGGGTGTCATGGTTGAAACATCCCTGCAGCGGGATGAGGGAGAGAGTTGGGTGGGTAAAAGTGAGAAAAGTCGTGGGTTGAGATGAAGACAGTTTAATAGGTAAAGCAAAGCCGTGCACGCAAGCAAAGCAGAACAAAGAATTCATTCACCACTTCCCACCATCAGCCATCCCCAGGAAAGCAGGGCTCCATCACGTGTGACCATTACTTATGAAGACAAACACCATCACTCCGAACATCCCCCCCTTCCTTTTTCTTCCCCAAGCTGTATAAGCTGAGCACATGTCATACGGTATGGCATATCCCTTTGGTCAGCTGGGGTCAGCTGTCCCAGCTGTGTCCCCTCCCAACTCCTTGTGCACCCCCAGCCTAAAATTAACTCTACCCCAGCCAAAACCAGCACAGTGGGACAGACATAAATAATAGATTTCTGTGTTTAGAAGTAATTGCAAAACTGGACTTGGTTAGAAACTCAGGTGGTATCTTTCTAATGTGAAATACAAAGTTTTTTTCATTTTTAAGTGTAATTTTTTATTACAGTGTAAAATTCAATCTTTAATTTCCTTTTGGGAAGATTGTTGTATTACTGCATTGCTCATCTTTCTGCTCTTCTACAGTTAATCTTGATGATGCAAAGGAAATGCCATAGCATATTTTTTAAAAGTCTTTACATTTCTGTGTCTCCTTGATAATTGTGAAAGGATGTAATTGGATTTCCCGTGGTAACGTAACATCAGTAACACAGGCCACTCTAATGGCTAGTAGACGATCGAGCAAGAGAAAACAAGCTGTAGCCATCTGCAAATGTCTTTTATGAAGCAGAACACAAGAGTGATCACATGGAAGGTTTGCTTCTCTTCATAAATATTAACTTGTACACTGTGACATGATACAATATGTTGATTGTTTTCTTTTTTCTACAGAAACTTTTTGTAGTCAAACCATAGTGAGATTTTTGTGTTGCAGGACAACCTGAATTTCATTTCACTGTTGTGTTGTTGTGAGCAAGCTTTTTAGTCTGTAGATAAAACAGTTTTCCTAAGGTTCCAGCAATGCATGGAACTTTCCTAACACTGATGATTGCTCTTAAGATGTTGTGCTTGTGGTCACTCTGTTAATTTGAGTTTTCCAGTTTATTGTATTAGTTGAGCATTTTTTTTTAAGTGTTTTGCTTAATATAGGGCTTGGATGGCTTTTAATGCTATGTTTGTCCATGGTGAAACTTACCCATAAACAAGACAGAAATTGGGTAGCCATGCCCAGTGGCTTGAGGAATTTGTTCCCAGGTCTCAGTCATTTCCACCCCAATCCCAGGTATGTGTAAGCATATGCACCATGTCACACTAATGCTAATCAGTTCTTACATTTCGTTTCTGAAACGTTACTTTTCTCATCCAGAAGCCCCTTGGCATGTTGCTGCCAGCAAACTGGAGAACAGTCTCATAGTGCTTGAAACACAAATTTAGTTTGTACATTGGTGTATTGGCTTCCTGTTCAACAGTATGTGAACTGTACATTGTAGAACAAACACTGCCTTTTAATAAAGAACTACCCACAATACAAGATCCAATAAACAAGCGTTTGTGATGAACAGTTTTTGAATAATCTCTTTGATACTCTTTATGTACAGCACAGCGTACAACAATAGATCAGCTATAGCACTGTTCAGTAGCTTTTTTTTTACACTCCATTTATAATGGAGAATTGATGGGAACATGGCTGTCGTGCTTTACTAGCTGGGTCTTGTGCTCTATCTATTTTATGTTTCATGTACCAGAACCCCTAGACACCAAGTTAATTTCGTAGGAATGACAGGGAAATAATTGCTTATTATAATTATTTAGTTTTAAAAATCTGAACCTGTGCTGTACATATAGGCACTCTGATTTTTCAGCCGTTGTAAGCTGAGCATTAGTCCACTGGAAGATCTTCTTTGAAGGTGATGCATTGGTCCGCATGTTCTCCTTGAAGCAACACAGGAGTGAGTCTCTGTATAGTAACAGCCATGTACTGGGTTTTATGTTGCCTATGCTTGGGAGTCGAAACAACAACTCGGGTAAATCATGCAATGATAACAGTCAAGTGGTGGAATTACACCATGATTAGGGAGCTCAAAGAACAGAAACTGCAGCTGTACAACATAGTGTACATGGAATAGATGCCCTACTGGGACTCCTGCTGTGCCTTACCAGTACTAGGATTTATTATATTTCAAGAGCTTTGTTGTGATCTCTTTCAGTTGACTGTTTCCTTTCATGTGTCTGATGTTCCTGTTAATGTCCAAGCTAATTCTCATGTCAATTTTTTAATTGTTTAATGGCCATTGTAATTCTTCTAGAGTTTAAATAATACCATACTGTACTGGGTTTGCATGGCAAGGTTTTGGTTTTGTGAGAAGATGCCAGAAGCTCCCCCCATGTCCAATAGAGCCAATGCCAGCTGGCTTCTGGACAGACCCACTGCTGGCCAAGGCTGAGCCCATCAGCAATGGTGGTAGTGCCTCTGTGATGGCATATTTAAGAAGGGGAAAAAAGTTGCTGTGCAGTAGCAGCCAGAGAGAGGGGTGAGAATATGTGAGAGAAACAACTCTGCAGACACCAAGGTCAGTGAAGGAGGAGGGGAAGAGGTGTTCCATGTGCCAGGGCAGAGATTCCCCTGCAGCCCATGGAGGGTGATGGTGGGGCAGATACCCACTTGCAGCCCACGGAAGCTAATGGTGGAGCAAATATCCACCTGCAGCCTGTGGAGGTCAGTGATAGAGCAGTCTGTGCCCCCCCTCCCCGCCCTCCCCCTCCAGCCAGCAGCAGTAAACCTGCGCCTGGAACATTGTGTTCCTGAAGGACTGCCCCCCGTGGAAAGGACTCGTGTTGGAGCAGTTCATTAAGAACTATGGCCTGTGGGAAGGACTCACACCAAAGAAGTTCATGGAGGACTGTCTCCTGTGGGAGGGACCCCACATTGCAGCAGGGGAGGAGTGTGAGGAGGAAGGAGCAGCAGAGACAATGTGTGATGAACTGAGCCCAACCCCCATTCCCCGTCCTCCTGCACCACTGAGAGGGAAGGAGGTAGAGAAATTGGGAGTGAAGTTGAGCCCAGAAAGAAGGGAGGGATGGGGAAAAGTTGTTTTAGGATTTAGTTTTTATTTCTCATTACCCTACTCTGATTTGATGGGCAATAAATTAATTAAATTCCACAAGGTGAGCCTATTTTGCCTGTGACTGTAATTGGTGAGTGATCTCTCCCCGTTGTTACCTTGACCCCCGAGCGATTCCTTGTTTTCTCTCTTCTGTCCAGCTGCAGAGGGGGGTGATAGAGTGGCTTGGTGGGCACTGGGCATCCAGCCAGGATCAACCCACCACATGTATAAATATGGAAACTGATCAGAGTTGGAGAGAGATCAATATTCTTGTTGCTTTGGTATTTATTTTCTATAAAATGCTGATGTAGAATTTTTAAAGGTGTAGTACTTTAAAGTGGTTCTGTAAGTTTGTTCATTTTACCAGGAATGGATTTGAGATAATGTGTTAGAAAGACAAGATGGGGTAAACATACTGTGCATAAGCCATTCAGTACTTTAAAATTGTGTCTCACTTAGTGGTCCATCTTGTGTTTGTATAGGTTGACAATTTGGCAGCTGAGCTAAAGCAAGAAATTGTATCTGGCAGTGAGCAAATACCTTGAGATTGAGATTGTAGCAGAAATTTTCTGGAATGTTTTCCAAGACTGTAAGGAGTAAAGGCAATGGAAATTGAGATACGGAAAATCAGTGACTTCTCAAAATTAGTTAATTTTCTTCTTCTGTACTTCTTACCAACGCTTGCTTTTTTTAAATGCCTGCAGAACATTGTGATGGGTACCCAGACTACGAAAGCATGCAGGTGACCAGCTTTGGTTTGTGGTTAGGGCTGCCTGCCTTAATTCATCTGTTAACTGCTAGCACTGTATAGGAAGTCTCCAGAGAAAATGGTGATGTTGGTGATCATATTGTTCCTGGGAATTTTTTGTCATACCCTAACATTTATTAGTGTACATGAATTTTAAGGAGTCCTTACAGTATATTTGAAACAAAACAAAATACTACCTGCCTGGTTTTTACTGTGTCAGAGGGGGGCTAATAATAACTCAACATTTAAAAACAAAAAAACACGAAAAAGCAAACCACCCCCCCCCCCCCCAAAACACCCACCACCCCCCCCCCCCCCCAAAAACCCCAACCTCCGGTGTAATTTTCATGGCGGTGGTTCTTGGATGCTATCAAACTGATGCGAAGTTGAAGGATATGATTTTGTCACTCTGCTAATGCAGCATGACAAACTAGATGGCAGGCTTTTCTACCTGATTCCTCTGATGGGAGAGGGGGCGTTTTAATGCTAGCTGAAAAATTGTGTTCTCAGTACATTGGTGAACAGTAAAATGTTTGATGTTATTGCAGTTTTGATGGTTTTTAAACTGCTGCACGGTTACTGTAGTTGAATAAACCGTGATTGGGCTTCTGGTAGCGCACACAGTTGGGCAGGGTGCGCATAAAGCCTCCAGGCAGGGGG